CTTTATACTAAAATTATTGAATGTTTATACATTTTAAGTGTATATAATATAAATATTTTTTAAATGAGTCGACTCAAGAACTGACTAGTGAAGTCGGGACTAGCTTAAGCTAGCTTGTCATGTTAGCTCTTTGAACTCGGATCTTGAGCTGCCACTTATTAAGTTGAGCTTGAGCCAGCTCGTGAGCCAACTTGATTCGATTGCACCCTGGCCTAGACAGGATCATTTTGAAATTTAAAAAAAAAAAAAAAAAACTTTTTTAATGTCATACTTTTTAAATATATTTGCTTACTTTAAGAACATTGCATTTGCCTTATCTTAAGAAATATTCTTTAGATAATCATCAGCAAAGAAAAATCTTACGTCCCATTTGGTTTTTTTAAAGTAAAAGCTTGTTGTAGGTGGTGATAAAAGACTATTTAATTAGTGTTTAACTACCAATTAGTAAGCAATTTTTGTCTGGCATTATAATTAATGAAATATTATTAGGAACTAACTAGATAATTACAATGCCAATAAACTATGTTTATTGTCTAACCATATGATGTATTGATACAAATTAAAAAAAAAAAACTTATTTTCCGTTTTAGCTGTTATTATATATCAAATAAATATTCTTCTTGCCTCATGCTCTTACTTCTTCCACAAGCGAGACCAAGCTACTGCCTCTCTCTCTCTCTCTCTCTCTCTCTCTCTCTCTCTCTCTCTCTCTCTCTCTCTCTCTAATATATCAATTTCAAGAGACAAAATTTGACTTGAATATGGCTAAATGAAGGAACGAAATGGTCTAATATTGAGCAAAATAGCTCTTTGCGTCTGCGTGAGCACAACTTCAATTGTAGGTGTTGAATATTTTGATTCAATTTTTATCAAAAAATTTATAAAATCATCAGAAATGGTAAAACTCATATATTTTTAAAACAAAAATTATCTATCTTCATAATTCTCTCTCTCTCTCTCTCTCTCTCTCTCTAATAAGCCTTCATATTTTGTATAAATATTTAAATTTTATTATTATATTTTTTAAAATCATTATAATTATCTTCATTTTTTTATTTTATGTTAAAATTAAAATTTTATGAACATAAATATATTCAAATTTTAATTAATTATCTTTAAAAAATATATAAATAGTTAAATATATTCGTTTCCATAAAAATACTAAATGAAAATTATTTAATTAATAACGTAATAATTTTTATTTTTTTTAATATTACGTGTCATAACTTTAAAAAGTTGTTGAAGAAAAAATATCAAATTATTATTATACATTTTTTTGTTAAATCGTTCAACAATAATGCGTCATATAACGTCAGAGCCCATCGTGTCATAGACGTATGAGACGCAATTAAATATTAAGCAGTGTGTAAAATTTTATTATTTTTTAGGAGCCAAATAAAAACATAATTTATTACATTTTTAACCTTCCAAAACGCTTATTTGGTATTAGTTAAAATATTCGGTAAAGTACTTAAAAGAAAAAAATTTAGTCACATAAGTTGAAAAAAAAATATTATTTCATTTTAGTTCTATATTTATATTTTTATTTATATATTTTCTGAAAAGGTGGTTAATATTTATGTGTTAAATGTATTTTCGCTAAATATGAATAGAGAATTAACACTTCAAATTACAAAAATTTGAAAAAATTACAAAGAAATTATGCTATGGATATTTTCTGTTATTATTTTATAATAGATTTGTTATGGAAATCCAATGGACAATGCCAAAAAATCTATGGTAAATTCTGTTTGAAAATAAATTTTCAATAGAAATATTAATTGAATTTTATTATTAATTTTTGAAATTTTTTTGGAGACAGAAATTGAGTTTATTGACTTACTGAGTTTATTAATTTCATTATTTTTATTGAAGAGGCAGGCATCAGTCTTAATAGAGACTATGAGTGTCTGAAAGGGATGATGGTATGCATGGACATTAGACTTGATGGCATGCATGGGTGTTTATGTCAATGATAAGCATCTGCCTTATCACGAACAATATTGATGTGATGACGACCATCAGACATTGTTCATGACAATGAAGCCCTATTTTAGTATCAATAGTGGCGTCTACCGTAGTATTAATGGTGGGCATCAACAATATGTGTTTATGTTAATGTTGACTTGGGTGATGATGGTATACATCAAACTTAATGGTAATGGCATGCATTAATCTTAAACCTTTTTGGCAACTATGAGAGTTGATGTTGGTGATGACGGGGGTCGGGGGATGTAGAGCTTGATGAAGATAATAGGCATTGACCTTGTCGTGTATGTTGGACACCAGCCTTTTTTATGTTAGGCTAGGTATCAGCTTTATTGTCAATGATATATATTTTTTTAATTTGGCTATGATATATTCACACTTTTTTTCTCTTTTTTTTTTTTAATTTGAAAAACTCGAGTTGAAAGAAAAATTTGAGTTGACATATCCTATTTGAATGTTTTTATTATGTGAGTCATATGTTACAAGAGATGTCTATTTGTGTAATTAGAGAACACGTTGATATAATATAGTAGACATAAACAAAGAAAGATTGCCTTACAAGTAAACATAGGAGCATTGAGGCATTTGAGTTATCATCCATACATCATTAATGGTCTACTATGTCATTCTCCTTATTGAAAGAGGGACTAACGACCAAGAAGGCAAGTATCAACCTTGATAGATATAACATGTGCCTATGAAGTGGTGATGGTCAAGTGGGGGGTTGGAAAGGATAGCAAAAGCGCTTGTCTTGAATTCATTTCGACTGTCAATGCTTATTCTACCGATCAAGAAGATTGGTCTGATTTGTAGCCTACGAGCAAGTCTTTCTGGGAATCAAACCATAGGTGTGGTTATTCAAGAGACGTCAGCTAAAGCATTGGACCATTGATACCTTTTCAAAACTAATCCCCAGCGCCTAAACTACATGGGCATTATCGTTGATGGCATGCATGTGTGTTCATGGTGTTTGCCTTATTAATGACAATGTGCAACAGTCTTAATAGCAATGACGAGCTTTGACCTTGTTAATGATGACAATAGGCGTCAACCTTAATAGAAACGGTGGACATTGACATTAGTGGTGATAATAGACATCTATCTTGGTGGAGCTCTTTATTGAAATCATCATAGTTTAATATCTTGATTGATTCCACAATTAATGAGGTATTAATTGGTTTGTAATTATTCATCTTGAATTTTTGGAGAACTTTATTTGAATAAACTTCTTGTGACAAATATATTTCACTTGCTTTACTTTCAAGTTGATAAAGATGACATATATGTGATCTTAAAATCTCAAGAGTCATGATTAACTTGAGCTCAATAAATATTTGATCATTACTTTTTTATTAAACAAAAACATCTATATACAAAGCAACTAACAAAATATCTTCATCTTTTTCTTTTATATATAAAACATTCTCATTAGAAAATTGAATAAAATAATTAGTTTTCAAATAGAAAATAATGGAGCAATTCAGTGCTTGAGGTACTTTCTCTTAATTTTTTTTTTTTTTTTCATTAACTCCCAATGAGAGTGCGCTGCTTAAATTTATTTCCAACTCAAAGAATTTAAATTTATAAATGTGAGGCAAATATATGGCATATGAACACTAACATGCTTGAGATTGTTTGATTGGCTAAAAAAATATAGTATATAAAAAAAATACAATATATTTAAAATGTTTTCGAGTTATTTGAATGAGTGTAACATAAATGCAAGTGATTTTTTCCCTTTTTTTCTTGAAATAAAACAAATTCAACCTAAATTGCAAAGATGGTGAGGGTTTGTTGTCGGTGGCAAGGCGGTTGTGACCAACAACAACATTAGGCAACTGGCAGCGGCACGATAGATTGTGATTGTAGGTGGCAGTGAGTGATGACTGTGGTGGGTAGGAGACGACGACAGATGGCAGCAACAATGACCGAAGTTAGTTTGTGGCCAGAGGCAGGTGACGACATTAAAAATAACTCAAGTCTAATGAGTTCCAAATATACCAAATTTGAATCTAGACGATGAATTTCAAATTTATCAAAATTTGACAATGCATTTCCCTAATCCCTAAACAAACACCAATATGCTTAAAACCACTACATTGGGAATACTTTAACCCTATTTTATTGCAAATCAAACGGCCCTAAACTAATTCTATCATAAATGAATATTTTTCAAGCACCACCAAGTAGCATGCACCAAGAGCCCATTGAATCTTATGAAGTTGTTATGATAATCACCAGCACTTAAATCTTAATCATGATCAAAGCCAATTATGACTAAATCTAGCCACAAGCCAAATGAACCACTTGATCAAAGCCAGAAAATTAAACCATAGAAATGAGAGCCATAGCTCTGATATTTTGCACCTCCATATTTTCTTCAATTATCCAATATAAAACAAAAATCTCTCATCCTTAACAGAAAAGCAAAGAGTTATTTTAAAACAATGCATCAAGCTTGCTTAGAAACTATAATCTGCAGCTAATCAATCATAAATATGATAGTTTTATATAACAGAAACAATTTACAAGCTTCAGTTGGCATTAAATATAAGCTGCAACATTTAATAATTGATTACTTGTTTATTTTGATAGCTTTAGCAATTAATACTTTTCAATTGCAGGCCTTGACCAAGAGAAATTATTATGTACCGTCCAGAGGCGAATCAAAATGCTTCATGTCACCCGGTACACAATAACAAAAGTGACGTGGCGCATCCTGATTAGCCTCTGAATGACATCCAGTGACCGCACAGAATAATTAATCCTTGACCAGATGCTATATACCAATTTTATCATTGTGACAGTTCCATCCAAACTATTTATGCTGCCTAAGTTATAATTTTTGAATGCATAGTTTTACTTGATGTTTCTTTTAATTAGTCTATCATATTTTATCTACAGATTATTAGTAGACATACTCTTCTTTTGCATGTGAACCAATCACTAAAGTTCTGCACACGATAAATTATTAGTAGTGTTTTCTGAGCGTATAACTACATGCGTGAAGCTATACACATCTGCATATTTGCTGTATATTATTATGCACATAATATATTTTATAATATTTTATACATAACAGAACATTACAACCCATAATAATAAACAAGCCTAATGTGTGGAGAGATTATTCTCTGCGGATGCGGAACGCAGGACGTCGAACGCAGATCTACATTCGGATATCAATCAAAATGAGTCACCTCAGCGATACCGAGCCGCGATACCGAACAGTACCGATCCGCAGTACCACGACACCGAGCGGTACCGAGCTGCGGGCTTAGGTATCTGGACGGGGTTCGGCTTCCGCACAGAATAATTTGTCCAGTGTATGAAGCTCTCTCACACATGCACAATCAAATAATAACATAAAATAATAAGAATGCAAAGCGTTAGAAGTCATTCAAAGGGAGGAAGCTGCCAGTCTATGAACATTTATGGAATAAATTAATCAAGGTTAATTACCACTGTTACCAATATCATTAATTATCTAAATGTCTAAGTGCCTTTCAGACATCCCAATCAAAGAAGATAAGATAGAAGTAAAGCAATCCTAGACGTGAACACTTGTGTTTACACTTGCTTTCATCTCCCGTTAAACAATTCTTTTGCCTTTAGACCTTCATATATAAATTATTTTTTGATAAACTTTAAAGCTACTTTAGATCAAGATTTGTATTTGTGCTTTGGATCTTAAACAGAGTTAGTATCTCATATTTTAATATTCTGATGGTTTTCCCCAATTTTCATAAACTAAGAACCCAGAAGCCTAATATGGATTGAAGAAGACAACGATTCCCAAATGGAAAACTGAGCTAATGAAGTGAAGGTAACGATTAGCTCACATGCTGGAGGCAAATGGAAGGCCCAGATTAAACACAATTTCGTTCATAATGAGGTATCCAACTGGTGGCTTGCACAATCAATTAAATTCTATAGAAACATAAATTGTTGCCACAATTCCATTTTGGCTGCAATTCTTCTGTTTTTTTTTTTTTGAAGTTTTTACGAAGAGAAGCAACTTCGTATAATATAATCTACTAGAATGTCGTAGTTGTAAAGATGTCGCCAAAAAATTTTCCCAAAATAAATAAATATATATATTGTACTTACAAAACAGCTATACAAAACAGCTATAAGAAAATTTTCTCATAAAAATTATAAAACTACTTTACAGCCGCCCAGGATAGATTTTAAATCTCTAATAGCTTTCTTTGAAATCTTGAAAGTCATATTCTTAACTAAAGTTATAAATAGACTCTTTTTTTGGGGGCACCTACTATTCTACTAAGAAAAGGATGACAGAGACAAGATCAGAATATTGCCAAAAAACAAGGATTTTATTGGTAAGTAAAACTCATTTTTTGACAATGCATCAATATGAAATGATGATGATGACATAAATATCCTAAACAATGGAGAAAGTTTGAATTTCTACAATAAAGCAACTCATGGCAACAATTTAATAAGATAATATTTTCTGCATCAAAACTCTATTTTTTCTACATCTCAATGATGCCTCCTTAGGTTATCATTGCAGAAGCAACTTCTCAAATAGACTAGCAAGAATCATGACATAAAAACTAAATACATAAATGAAAATAATTCGAATTCTTCTATCATAGAAGCAATTTTTGGCGTAAAAACTAAACTGTTCTAATATTCTCATCTTTCTTTCCTGCAACTGCATAGTAGAGAAATTTACTAACGGTCTACACCAATAATTTTCTATAGAAAAATCATGGGAAGAAAGAAGTTTTGGAGCATTACAAAATTATGGACATGATGCTTTGAAAATTCATGAATTTTCGCTAGGGTATGAAGTATCAATAATTTCATAAAATCAATTGAAAGAAAATCTAGAAGTAAAAAAAAAAAAGACACAATTTGGGTCATAATACAGTTTAGTTTTGTTTAGTTTTACCTATGATTGTGTCAGTTAGATCTATTTTACCTATGATTTAGTTAAATTCAATTGATATAACAAATCCGTAATAAAATGCACACCTCTAGTTGTGTTGGAAGGGATCTGGTCAGACATTGCAAAAATGTTTTCAATCTAAATGGATCTTATCAAAGTGTTTTGTGGAGTTGAGCTCAATTTGATTGAAATGAATCTAGTAAGTCGGATTGTCTTGGAGATTGGCCTCTCGCTAACATGATCAATAGTCAGGGCGTAACGTTGATCAAATAGATTGTCATTGTTACCGTCAAAAGGACCGAGAGTTCACTCACAACCGATGAGTGGAGGATGTTTGTTTGTCTTCTTTTCTTTTGGGTAGCCCATGAAATTAGCATTAACAGCTCTTGTCAATGGATCGCACAAGCGAAGGAAAATTTTCCATAAACTACATACTCATCAATTTCAGTTAGTCTCATGAGGGCTCTCACAAAACTATTAGTGTGTCTTAGCTCTAGTGGGTGAATCAGATTGGAGAGGTTACTATGTGATTGCTCCGTAACCTCAACTTAAGGATTTAGCCTGTTGAGGTTTCTTGGGTGCTTCATGTTCAAGAAGAAAGGCAAAGGAATGATTTACTTGAATAAGAGGAGAAGAGGGGAAGTTCAAGAATTGTATGGTACACATGTCAAAATCCTATCCTATCTATAGATTTTTCTTTTTTAATGAGAAAAAATACATAAATCTAAATATTTCCCAAAGTATCATAAGGCATCTCATACTTAGACAGCGAAATAAAATAACTATTTGAATATTCATGGTTGAAACATTTCAATTTATACAATATCTCAAGAGAGCTCTTGGAAATATAAAATCACTCGGGATGAATCTCAACTATTACAAATCCTCACAATAAAATCTCAAGCACTAATTTTAAATATCCTTAAATGCACAAAAACATTGTAAATTCATTAGTTACATATCAAAGTCGAACTTCATGTATATTACATTTAATAAATCATGATTTAAAAATCACTTTAACTCAGCTATTTAAGAGGAAATATCTAATGGCATTAGACCTACTTCAACCTTCAATTAATATTTCAATTTAGCTTCCTAGGTGAGCACATTTTAGAGATAGCAACAATTGTATGGTGAAAGGACTGGTGGCTCACTGGTTAAATAAGATGATTGTATATTCTCACAAATTCAAAACATATATTTCGTAATTTATCAATCATTTAAAAAAAACAAATAAAAAAACAACTATACTTATAGAGCAATAAGCACCGTCTTCTATCTCCTTTAATAAAGAATTACACGCAGCTCTTCTCATAGTAGTTATAAATCTCTCACGCGAATTCCATTTTATCCTTTCTTTCATATTTTAAAGCATGTTTTCTCATTGACAAAAATATTGCTTATAGTAGCATGGTACCTTTTTTATTGTTGTATTTGTAAGCAAAAGAATGGATTGAAAGGATCCATGACTTATTGGTTAATGGAGATGACTGCACCTTCAAGATCACGAGTTTGAGCCACAACACTTTGAGATTTATAGCTCACCAACCCAAAAAAATAGAATAAGTTGCAAAATTATATCATTGCACTGGCACAATATTTACATTGATTTGCGTTTGAAGTGGAGAGCTAAAATAGTAACACACTATTGAAATTTGGTGGCAAAGATAAACAGTAATGCTTAACTCCCTAAATAAATTAATATAAGTTTTTCTTACGTCTCATGTTAAGTAAAAGAATGAAACCTCTACACCAACTGTTAGGAGCGATTAAAAAAACCTAGCATGAATTTCTTTTAGGATTACTCAAAGATAATAACATATTGGTAGTTGAGTTGCAAAAGTTGGAATTGTTGCAATATATATATATATATATGTATAGAAATGGGTGCTGCGTTTGCTAAATTGCACGCTCAAGAAAATCATAAATATGTTTAACATTTGTTCTTGTTTTCAAACAAAAAGTCACTTCTTTTAGTGATAAAAGTGATTCTCTAACTTCATTTTTTTTAAGACGCTGGTGGTAAATTAGCTGTCCAGTTCTAACATTTCATGTATTCCACTTCATTCTTTTCACTCTAAAGTAGAGAGACGAACTTAATACTTTCCAAACATTGCATAACAATGAGCAAAAATGCATAAATCCTAATCAGGAAAAAAAATAACCCTTACTCTCTTCATTCCAATTTCCAGGGACTGACGGCAAATTTCATAAGCTAATAATGTACCTCAAACTTCAAAATTCATACTGCCAAAGGTACTGAAAACTTCATTTTTTAGTAACAAAAAAAAAAAATTACACAACAAATTTCTAAATAAAAATTGTGTTATGATAAAAAAGGAAACTCATACAAGCAAACCCATGGTACATGCTTCGGCCAGTTACAAAAATAAAGTAGAGATACCCAATGTGCTTGTTGTTAATACAAGCTTCGCAAAGATTAAGTGGGCATCTGAAGTTTATGGAGATCTCTCTTTCCTTTTACGTGAAGTGGTTAATGTTGTGCAATTCATAACGAACAAATTCTCTGTATTGTGAATTTCAACTGAATCAATATGGTTAGTATAGGGGTATCTTACCTCTAGAATGTTGCTTGACGCTGGTCTAGTTATGCACAGCCAAACCCTTGAACTCTCGTTTTGGCTGTTGTCATCTAATGGAACATGCCATGATCCACTCTCCGATTCCTAAGAGATGGAAGAAAGAAAATAAGGTGGATTAGAAAAACGAGTAATTCAATATGACTGGCCAAAATAAGAAAGGCTGAGGTTTATACCTGGATGACTATAGAATATGGAGGTGGCATTTTAAGCACCAAATGGCCTTTAACGAAATTGTACTTGACCTGAAATGCGATAAAATGAATCAGCAGAGGCAAACCATGACGTTAAAATACTACAAATATGAGAAAATAATACCTAAAGAAATATTAATTAACCCTTTTGGAGATCTGTCAACCGACCATAACCACATCATAATCAACAAGTTACCAACTCATAATTTAATAAAAACTTGTTATTTTTAAGGAAAGACAACAACATAATTTCTTCATTACAAAAGATAATTTAACAATTGCCTAAAGCCTGAAATTTCAATAAAAAAATAAAGAAAATCTTGTACATAAATTACTTGAAGAGATTTTAATCGCATGAAGAGAGTAAACAATTTAAAGGACAAGAATAACAATATCAATAATCTGAAAAGGGAAAAAAAATGGACCGTATAATATTAATCCAATAAAAAAACAACTACGAGAGAAAAATTAAAATTTTATTCAATTTCAACGAAGATTTGTCCCAGGAATACTATTTACAGCATTTAATGGACCCAAAAAAAGAAAATTGCACAAAATATGTTAAGTCCGCTAAAAAGACAAGAAAAACATATCATGTCATTGCTCATAAGAAAAACCATACTTAAATTCAGCGCCAGACCATGGATAAATTAGATACAAAACAACAAGAATTTATAGCTACATGTTCACAAATTGTACCATGGAACTTTAAAAGATTCTTAGAGCATACCTGATGCCTTTCTTTCCACTTAGGAAAAAAGTTTCTACCTAGGAGCTCAAATATGTGATCTCTCATTTCATCATTAGTCACAAGCAAACACTTGAGCTTAACTGCTGCATAAAGCCAATACCTGAATTAAAAAATAAAAACAAAGATGTAGAATTATGGTAATAGAAAAAGATCGCATGGTCTAAGTAAGGAAAAAAATAGCCAGAAGACAGAAGTTCCATTGCAAACTAAATTGTCCTGAATAAATCACCAAGTACAGAGTAGGCATGTGTTGGAGTACATCATACAACATTGTTAAGTTTTGCCAACAGAACATTGACAATACATTACAAAGGCTAATCAACAAAACAAACATCAAGATACAGAACAAATAAAAAAATGCGTCAAGATAAAGGGTAAAGAGAGATAAGAGGAAGAAAGTTTTTTCAAGTAAATAAGACATCCTTTAGTAGTTGACAAATCCATAATTAATACAATACAGAAGTAGAGCAAGCAGATGTAAGATGAATTACAATGAAATTTCAGTTGGTGTGATATCACAAATTATCAACCAATATTACTAGAAGATAAAATAATAATTGAGTGAAAGATAGTTAAATAATTTGGACCTATCATACAAAACAATGAGAATAAATAACAAAAATAACTTCTAGAGAAAAGCCAACTTGATTTAAAGAAAGGAGTACAATGAAATAAAGGAATATCATAAAAGCTTAAAGATTAATTTTTAAAAACTGCTATTAGGCCGGTTAAGTTGTTAACATCCGAGCGCTTGGAAGTTAAAGGTGATTGTTAGACAAGTGGAGTATGGAAAAATGAGAATATTAATATAGATTTGTAGCAAACTAAGAAGTATGGGTGGAGAAATGATTATATTAGAAGGGTAATGAGAAATACATCTATTAAATAAAATGTGGAGAAAAATAGATAGATGATTTGAGCATGTACAACGAAAAATAAAATATGCATCAAAAGATGGGTAAATCAATTTAGTATAGATGCTTACATTAACAAGAAAGAAAAAGGGTAGACCGAATAATTTGGATATAATTTGTGTAAAATGGTTTGTGCGAGATATTTTTAACACCACATATAATGGATAGAGAATGATAACGCATAAAACTAAGGCGATCATTTCAAGATAAACCATTTATATGATATTTGTGCATAACAGTTGTAAAAATTGAGAAAATAAAATGTTAAAACAATTGAGTAAATTTTTAGAAGACAATGGGCTAAGCTTTTACAAAACAAATAAGGAGTATATCATACACAACTTTAGTGAGTATAAATTGATAATTATCAATCATTATTGAAGATCACATGATACCTACATATGATAAGTTTAGGTATCCTAGATACATTATTGGGAATCTAAATGAGAATACAGCTTAACATTAAATCTGAGTGGTTAAAATATAATTGCCTTAGGAATATTTAATGAAAAGAGAGAAAAATGAAAAGAAAAAGATAATTTTGTAATTTTGAAAGTAGACTAGTTACATGATTTAAAAAAATTGTTTGAGGCACATGCTTTGAGGCGCGCCTCAAACTAAGGTGTACATTGAGCGCCTCGAGGCTTAATCCTCACAAGTTCCAGTGAGGCTTACGCCATTTTTAAATGAGGCATACACCTCGAGGCATTTTGGGCAGCGCAAACTTCTTGGAAAGTCTCTAATTTATTGATGTGATGGGTAACAAATTTATTTAAATTCAATCATCAATCAATTAAATAAAACTGTACTTGAAACTCCAAACATAAGAAATGCGCACTTGGCAGTGATTTTATTAGTACACTAGGCAGAAGAAGGGTTCTGCCCAAAAGGGGGCGGGATTCTTTGGTGGCCAAAAGTCAATTAAGCATTAATTAAAGATGGATTTGGGAGGGGAAATTCAAAGTAAATGACTATTTAGGGATAAGAAGATTGTGTTTTGCTTTAAGTAGATTTTTTTCCTAGGGTTAGGATTATGTAATGTCTTTGCTGAATTTGGTTTTCTCTTGGGGTTTATTTGGGCTCTAGCTGCCGGCTAGGGATTTGGAGAGCCGGATCTTCCTCTTGAATTGAAGATTCATTGTAACTTGTTTGTTTTCTTTCATCTTTCATCAATTATCAAGTTTCTCTAGTGTTTTGTCACCAAATTTCTCTCAAATTTTATTTTATCTTGCTAAAATTCCAAATTTAAGCCAAGATTCTTTCAATTTCTCCAAGTATTTCCTATCAAATTGGTATCGAAGCGCTTTCTAGGGCAGAAAAACAAGTTATCTTCGTTGTTTTTGCGATTGGAGCCTATATCCAATTAATGGCATCAAAGAAGATGAAGGCATTGGAGGGCGAGATGGAACAGCTCAAGGTCAGAGTAGAGGAAAAAATATTCCGAGATGGAGGGAAGACTCTCAACCACCGAGAACCGCTTTGGGAACTTTAAAGAGATGATAAAAAGGATGTTTATGCAATCAAAAGCATCACCGGCGATTCATACGGTGGAACCACGAGAAAAGGAGATCCAAGAGGATGCCAATGAATTGGAGAGTGCTTTCCATCAAGGACAGCCACATGGGGCCTCGTTAATGGGTGGATTGGGGTATTCTGAAGGGAGGACATCAAAGAGGAGGGAAGCCAACCCCTTTGGGAGACTAACCGAGCATGGGGAGAGGTGGAATGGAGAAGGGCATGGTTGGGAGGATCCATGGGGTCAAAATCAACCAAGGGAGGAAGGAAGAAAATCATGCGACCACTACACCAAAGGAACCAATGAGGGAAGAAACCATTGGGATATGGAAGCAAGAACAAAGAAGCTAAAGATGTCAATCTTTTAAGGGGAGGATGCACAAGGTTGGGTGTACTGGTAGATTATTACTTCGCCAGTAACGGGCTAACTGAATGGGAAAAACTCATGGCGGTGGGTCTTTGTTTGTAAGGGAAACCCCTAGCCTGATTCCAATGGAGGGAGGATAGGTATCCGATCTACTCATGGGGAGAATTTTAGGAGTGCTTGTTTGAATGTTTCTGAGCCATTCAAGAAAGAGACCTCCAAGAGTAGTTTTATGCCCTAACTCAAAAGGAGACAATTATGGAGTGCCGAGAGAAGTTTGAGCTGCTGTCATGGAGACCGAACGGAATCTCTGAGAAGGATTGGAGGGGAATTTCATGAAGGGGCTTAGGGAGGACATACGAGCATAACTCAGAATACTGAGGCCTAGTGGGCTGAGGGAGACGATTGAGCTGGCTTAGAGGGTGGAGGAAAAATATAAGAGAGAGAAGGACAGCAGAAGCAACATCATGGGAGAGACCTAGCGGAGTATCCCTACAACTCTAGCACCTAAAACCCAGACAACATCCTTCTAGAGAAAAGTTCCTAGGGAGAAGAGCAGTGGAGTTCACCCGAGGGGGGAAATTTTAAGCGACTCATAGAAGTGGATGTGCAGAATAAACGGGCAAAGAGGTTATGTTTCAAATGTGATAAATAAGTACACGCCAGAGCATATGTATAAGGGCCGAGCTCTTTAGGTTATCACCATCTGTGATGACGAGGAAACTGAGGAGTGATGTGGGAGTGAGACATAAATAAAGGAAAAACTGCATTTAGATATATCTGAGGTTTCCTTGAACTCAGTGATGGGATTCACTCCTAGTCATACTATGAAGGTAAGGGGAGAACTAGCAGACAAGGAGGTAGTGGTGCTGAGAGACAGTGGTGCTACCCACAATTTCATCTCCAACCAGGTCGTAGACCAATCAGGACAAAATTTGATCTAGTGGACACAGGGTGCTATAGGGTGATGATGGGGGCTGGGAAGATGGAGACAGGTAGAGGGGTGTGTAGGGGAGTGGGAAGATGGAGACAGGTAGAGGGGTGTGTAGGGGAGTGGTTTTATCCAAACAAGGGATCTCGATGAGGGAGGATTTTCTCACATGAAGCTAGGGAGCATTGGCGTCATCCAGGAGATGAGATAGATGCAGACCTTAGGGGATACTAAGGTGAATTAGGGGACGATGACAATGGAGCTGATGGTGGAAGGGAGAATGATGGTGATTAATGGAGATGCAAGGCTCTCCAAAATCATGGTGTCTCTAAAAATCATGGTAAAGGCTATACACAAGGTGGGAGGAGGATTTATGGTGGAGCTACATAGTTTGGAGTGTGGAGCACGCCATCACAGGGATTTATGGAGATGCAAGGCTCTTCAATTTCTCAGCCATCTCAGGGGTTGCCACCACAGAGGGGGCAGGAGCAGTGGAGCACGCCATCACATTAAGGGAGAAGGCATCACCGATCAATGTAAGGCCTTACCATTACCCCCAGATCCATAAGGATATGAATGAGAAGCTGATCACGGAGATGTTGGAGGCAGAGATCATCAGGCTGAACATGAGCCTTTTTTCTACTCAGTTCTACTGGTCAAGAAAAAGGATGGAGGTTGGCAATTTTGTGTGGACCATCGGGCCCTGAATAAGGAGATTATCCCAAGCAAATTTCCTACTCCAGTGATAAATGAGCTGCTAAATGAATTTTATAGAGCGGCGGTATTCACAAAGGTGGACATGAAGTCCGCGCACCATCATATCTAGATGAGAGAGGAGAATGTTCCGACGACAGCTTTCAAGACACACGAGAGACACTATGAGTTCTTTGGTGATGTCTTTTGGTCTCACCAACGCCCCAGCTACCTTCCAGTCTCTCCTGAACAAGGTGTTATAACCTTACCTCAGGAGATTTGTTCTGGTTTTCTTTGATTATATCCTGGTATACAGCAAGTCGAGTGAAGAGCATCTAAAGCATCTAAGGGCAATCTTAGAAGTTTTACAGGAGCATCAGCTAAGGGCGGGCCAATCTGAAGAAATGTTATTTTACACAGGCTAGTGTGGAGTATCGGGGCACGTGGTATCCCAGGAAAGAGTTGCAGTTGATCAAGTCAAGATTGAGGCAATGCTGAAATGGCCTCTACCAACCCTGGCCCGACCAGATTTCAGCCAAATGTTCGTGGTAGAGATTGATGCCCTAGGGATATGGATTGGGGGCTGTTCTCATGCAAAATCACAAACTCATAGCCTACTTCATCCAGGTGTTGACTGCCAGAGTTCGACTGAAGTCGGTTTATGAGAGGGAATTGATATCCATTGCATTGGCCATTCAGAAGTGGCATCCTTACTTGTTATGCCGACATTTCATTATTAGAACAGACAGGTAGAGCTTGAAGTACTTCCTGGAGCAGAGGATGGTGACCGAGAAACATCATAGGTGGTTTTCAAAGCTGTTGGGCTATGACTTTGAGGAGTATAGGTCAGGGCTAGAGAACAAGGTAGTCGATGTCTTATTATCCAGATGCATGGGGGAGCTCCATGAGTTAGCTATTTCAGTACTGTTAACGCTAGAATGGGGGGCTATTAATGAGGAGAGTATGTAAAATGAGGGCTATAAGGCGGATCTACTAAAGGATGAGAATAGCCACCCTATCTCTCTAAAAAGGGATAAACTGTTGTACCAGGGGAGGCTTGTGCTGTCATGGACCTTGGTTCATATTCCCACCTACTGCAGGAGTTTCATGGGAGCGTTGTTAGGGGTCATTCTAGTGTACAGAAGACATAAAAGATTAACAGCAAAATTGTATTGAGAAGGGATGCATAAGGATGTAGAATAGATGGTGGCTAGGTGTGAGGTATGCCAGAGAAATAAGTACATGGCTATGGCTCCAGGAGGATTACTTCAACCCCTGACTCTTCCAAACATGGTGTGGGAGGAGGTCGTTCAAAGATGGGCTACTACGATCTGAGGGGTTTATAGTGATTATGGTGGTGGTTAACAGGTCGAGCAAGTATGCTCATTTCTTTCCCTTGCGACACCCCTACACGGCAATTAAAGTAGCAGCACCATTCATCAGAGAGGTGGTTCGATTGCACAGGATCCCAGAGTCGATAATATCCGACCAAGATAAGGTGTTTCTCAGTCAGTTCTTGAGAGAATTGTTCATGCTACAAGGAATAATTCTAAAGAGAAGCACTGCTTATCACCCTCATACAAACAAGCATACAGGGGTGGTAAATGAGAGTTTGGAGACTTTACTGTGGTGTTTTGCTTCAGAGACGCCTCAGTTGTGGGTCAAATGACCAGCGTGGGCGGAGTACTAGCATAACATATCACTCAGCTTCCCATATAACCCCTTTCAAAGTGTTGTACAGAAGAGACCCCTCACACTTGGTGCATTTGGGTAGAGGAGCACACCAGTCTCTTTAGTAGAGCAGTACTTGGAAGAAAGAGATAAGATGTTAGAGAAATTGAAGAGACCCCTATTGAGGGCACAGTAGATTATGAAGAAGCATGCGGATGAACAAAGAAAGGACATCCAAAGTGAGGGATAGGTGTTCTTAAAATTGCGACCTATAGACAGACGACAATAGCCAACAGAAGGAAAGAGAAGCTGGATCAGAGATATTTTCGCCCTTACGAGATATTGGAAAAGATTGAAGCAGTGGCTTATCACTTGAGGTTACCCCGATCACTATCATACATCCAGTATTCCACGTGTCACAATTGAGGAGAGCTCTTGGGTAGCATGCAGTTAGTTTAGAGTTACTGGCGATACTAACTGAGGATTGGGAGGTGGTGTTGGAATCACTGGAGCTGACAGGGTTACGACAAGGAGGAGGAGAAATCAAGGAAGTGCTTATTAAATGAAAAAACCTACCCGACTATGACGCCGCCTGAGAGTCCTATAAGAGTGTGAAGCATCAATTTCCATCTTCTCACCTTGAGGACAAAGTGGGTCATTGGTAGGGGGTATTGTTAGATAGGTCCATGTTGAACCGGTTCACGTGTACACCAGGGCGAAACAAGGGTTCCGCCCAGCAGAGGCGGGATTCTTTGGTGGGGCCCAGTAGTCAATTAAGCATTAATTAAAGATAGGTTTGGAAGAGAAAATTCAAAGAAAAGGGTGGATTAGAGGATTGTTTTGCATTAAGTAGATTTTTATCCCTAGGGTTAGAGTTATGTCTTTGCTGAATTGGGTTTTCTCTTAGGGTTTGTTTGGGCTCTAGCCGCCAGCTAGGGATTTGGAGAGCCGGATCTTCCTCTTGAATTGAAGATTCAATGTATATTGCTTGTTTTCTTCCATCTTTCATCAAATATCGAGTTTCTCTAGTGTTTTGCCAACAAATTTCTCTCAATTTCAGCTTTATCTTGCTGAAATTTCAAATTTCAGACAAGATTCTTTCAATTTTTTGGCTTTCTACAAGTATTTCCTATCAGCTTTGCAGATAAAACTGAATGTCTTTTATTGTATAGTTCGCTTAAGCTATGTGCTTCTCATCTTTACTCCAATAGCATTTCAACTACAAACAACATGGATCTTTGATAATCAAGCCTAGAGTAAGTGGATATGAAAGCTATGTTAAGGTAGGCATTGGTTTTGCTTATCTTGTTAAACATATAAAAAGGCATCATAGAGACTTTGAAAGATAAATTTCAAATAACTACAACTAGGTGGGCTATATTGTATGGATCCTAGTGTTGGGACTTAGAAGGTAGGAAAAAAGTCTTTGATATCTAAGCTAATTACCGCAAAAATAAGACTGTTAAAATGGATTTGTGGCAAGAGTAGAAAGGATGGATCAAGAAATGATCATATTAGAAGAATAGCTATAATAATATCTATTGAAAATAAAGTAATTAAAAATTAATTTTGGGAATTTGGCCAAGTACAATGAACCGCAAAAATAAGACTGTTAAAAGGGATATGTGGCGAGACTAGAAAGGATGGATCAAGAAATGATGATATTAGAAGAATAGCTATAATAATATCTATTGAAGATAAAGTAATTAAAATTTAATTTAGGGAATTTGGCCAAGTAAAATGAAGGATGGAAATTAAAAGAGTAAATAAATTTAGCATCATGGCATAAGAAAGGAGATGGTCCAAACCAAAGGTATTATATATAGAAGTTACTTAAAATAATTTACAAAGAATACACTTAACACCTCAGATAACACTCAATAGGAATGAATGAAAATGAGAATTCATAAAATCCCAACTAGTTGAGTTGAGATAAGGCTAATGATGATGATGATAGTCAAACATGTAAAAGAAACAATTTAGTACACCAAAATCAATAAATTACACTTGGAATAGCAAAGGATAATATTCACAACAAGCCTATAGTATAAGAACTAAATATAACTCATAAATTTATTGTTCAAAAATCATAATTAAACTACTATAATACATTACATAAGATCAAAGGTTCTTAAGCAAGTACTTAATAAGCAGAAATAAGTAAAGCATAACTATGCTGACGTCTAGAGACACCAAGTTGAATTTCTGACAACCATTAAGTCATTTTCATACATAATATTTTCTTTTTTATCTCTCGTTATTTGATCTCTCATTACAAGTCGACTTTTGTCAACTCCATCAATAGTTTTCCTCCATGTTTCTTCTTCTTCTTGATCAATGAACTTTCTAAAGCTAAAAAGAGATTACATAATGCTCATCGCTTGTAACAATGAATATGATGAAAATGTCGAAGAAAGCATCAAATCAAGAATGAGGGCATGAAATTAGATTCCATCTACAAGTCAACTAATAACGTTGCATTAATTCTCAGAACTGTATGTTTTGGTTAAACTCTGCACCACTACAATTTCCTATCTACAGATTCCCCACTATAATTTAACTCAAAATAGGATCTAATCAAGCTTGTTTATTATCTTTTCCTTTAGTTTTGTTGGCAAGGATATCACAAAAAAAAAAACTTAATAAAATCATGAAAATATTTAAATCTCCAAAACTTAATGATTCCTACCAATCATCATTTGACCCATTCGGTGTTGTATATAACGCGCCAGCTGCACTCCATGATTCAAGCAGCTGTCTGTTAGCAGGGTTTTCCATGAGCCCTCGATAGCGCTTGTTGTGAATAATAATTAAAGGCCATTTACCCTGGCACCTTTTTTGTAATTCTCCAACAACGACATTTAGCTTTGTGGATACAAAATAACATCGACAGGAACACGTTATGCCATAAGAAGATATTTCATTAAGTGCAATAAGCAGTAAAAATTGTGAATTGTGAAATGCACGTACCTGGGATAAACTAAATCCACCATCTTTAAAGTTCTGTTGATAAAGTGCAACATTTGCACCATCAATTACAGCTTCATAGGACGCATGATTATCTAGCCATTCCTACACATGACAAAAGTAAACCAATGAAATCACGAAACAAAAGTATATCCAGACTTCTAGTTTTGTTTTAGCAAGCTAGGAGCAAGACCATGAAAAAATAAACTCAAACTGAACCAAGCAAGCTCAATCAATTTAAAATAATATCCAAACTCTTACCAAACATCCTAAACCAAGCTCAATAAACTCTAATTGGTTCTCGATTCTATTCTAAAAACTCTACTTTATATGTATGGCAAAATAATTTCCCTGACTACTCGATGATAAGAAGATAAAAAGGTTTTTTTCTATTTTTTTATCTCCTTGCATAAATATACATATATATAGCAGGTCTGGCACTTGAGAAAGGTTTGGGCACTAAAGATAAAGGAAAAACAATCCCTATTAAAAAGGGGAAAATAGAAGTAGCTGAAGTCTCCCGTGTAGGACCTCCATTCACCTGAAATTTTCCAAAATTGGCTCTGGTCTCCCTCTCAATGGCCAAGCTAGCCACGGAATCTGCAAACTTCTCGGTCTCACTTTGATCAATATCTACACAAGCCAACCTAAGCCCACAACAAGAGCAATCCCCTTCTACACTAACAACACCTCTGGCAAGTTCCCATCTACCTTTCCCCAACCAACCTAAACCATGAAAACCTCCTCCATTGACTAAAAGTGCATCCCTCACTCGATCCACATCCCAATTCAAGCTCCCAACTTCCATAGCCTGCCCACTGATAAACCACTTCTCCAACACATCCGCTGTCAATGAAGCTATCCCACCCGCACAAGTTCTCAGTTTCTGCAGATAGCCATAGACCCTCTCCCCTCTCCCAACCTTCGCGCTAACCTCCAAAAGCGCAGCAATCTCCGCTTCTTCGGGAGAAACTCCTTTCGATATCATGTGTTCCTCGACGTAATAAGCCTTCTCAGCTTCCCTGTTTCTGCAGAAGGTAAATAGCGCGGGGCCGTAGGTTCTCAGTTTTGGCGTTGCGCCATACTTATCCCCCATGTTCTTCACGAGATCAAAAGCCATGTCTCCCCCACTATCCGGTAGACGGGCGGCGATCCTTGCCATCGTTGTTATGGTAGCCTCTGTCGGGACAGCGCCGGCAGCCACCATGCGGTCGAATATGCGGAAGGAAGTCTCTATCGCGGAATCTTTGGTATGCACCTTCTCTTCTAGGGTCTCGAGGGAGGTGGAGAGAATGTGAAGAAGGGAATTGAAGTGGTAGGAGGATAGATGGATGTTCTTCGAGTCGGCAGACTGGTAGAGGGAGAGGGCACCTAGGAGATCGTTATTCTTCGAGCAAGTGTCGAGGGCGTGCCTGAACTGCGCCTCCGGTCTGTGATTCTTCTTCTTCGCCTTCGCCGAGCAGGCAGTGATTTCCATTGTCGTTGAACAAAAACCCGAAACCCTAAAAACCGGGTAAGAAGTCATGGAAGCGGCAAAAAACTAAAATGTAAAAACCCACGTTAACGATACGGGTTCTTCTAACTCTAATTGTAATAAATTTTTTCTGCTCATAGCAACAACTACACCAAAATGTAGATTTTATTCTACTACTTGTGACAGTTTTTTTTCTCCATTTATTATATGCTATAATGAATAAAATTTGTATTCAAGTCTAATAAAAATATATCATTTTCAAATCATTTTATTCTTAATTTTATCTTTTTTAATATAGATAAAATCTAATAAATCTACTCTCCTAGTCGAGCCATCTAAATGTCGACATTTTATAATGAATAAAATTTGTATTCAAGTCTAATAAAAAAATATCATTTTGAATATTTTATAATCAAATCATTTTAATCTTATTTTAATCTTTTTTTAATATAGGTAAAATCTAATAAATCTACTCTCGTAGTCGAGCCATTTAAAGGACAACCTTTTATGTGAACAGAACATCTAAGATGATTCTCTCTATTCTTATCTTCCACGATAGCTACTCCAACATTTTCACATATGTATTTGTTTTATATTTTATCTCTAAGAGGAAAGTCACTCATTCACATGAACATCCTTATCTTCTTAATATTTAAGTTAATTTTATGCTTCCTCTTTTGATGGCCAACATTACGCTACAAAATATTTCAAGTCTTATCACAATCTAATAGAATTTTTCCTTAAGTTTGAGGGATAGTTTTTCTATCACAATTCACACATTAGGCTTGATGCATTCCTCTACTTCAACCATCACATTTGAATTCTACTAATAATATTCGCATCTACTTCACTATCACTTTGAACAATATACTCCTTTTAATAACTTATCACCCAAAGTCATTATCATTATATATATATATATATATATATATTAAAACTACGCTGCATATATTCGATTTCAGATCTACTCCAATAAAATTCCTTAGGCTATAGGATTGATCTCCATAATTCAATTTTCCTTCATCTCCCTCTCTAGTACAAGTTATATGTCTCCTTCTATTTCCACTTTTACTAAATAAGAAATGAGTTTTATATAAGTGGATAGATGCGAGCCAATTTAGAAAGAGCTTAGCTGATTTTGGAGCATGCATGCGAAGGCATGTTCTAAAAAGCTTTGAGGAAATAATGATAATATGGTAAATGATTGATGAGTAAATGGCTAGAGACAAATAGGGGTAGGGGCTTGACTGAGAAGTCGGATAGTGATAACCCGAGATGAATTTCCCTTAAGTGAATGTCATGGAAGATGTTATTCAGGATGCACCAATAATTTGAACTGTGGTGCAAAGATAAGCAATTACAAATCTAAGGTGGGCATCATATGTGGGAAAAAGAAACCATCATGTACATCATACATGGAGGTGGCCTCACTCTTAAGGATTTATAAAGTAGATAGGGCTCTTAGTGGAAGATGGTGAATATTGTTATTGGAGTCATTGGGTGGAATAGCTAGCGGACTTGGTCGACAAGAATAGGAGTGTCAATTAACGATGTGAACTAATAACTCAACTAAGAAAATCAGAGTTTGAGTTGATCCGTTTAACAAATGGTTCATATTTGGATCTTTATTTTTTGACCTATTTATAAATCGAGTTGTATTATGGTCAACCTGCTAACCCGAAAACAACCTCAGTTTGACCCAAATCCCGCAATCTATAGTTCTATAAGTCATAACATTAAATGTTAAAAAAAATAAAAATTACTAAGCCCTTGGTCCTGTCACGACCCGACCCGATCCGGGACGGATCCTGTTCGCACCGGGCTGCGACTAAACCTTTAATCCAGGATCTGGCTTTGGAATTTGCTTACTGAACTGAATCTTCCAAATATTTCAACTCAAAAGGAAAAACACAGACAGACACAGAGCTACTATGAATCGTCAATTGCAGCGGAACAAAACATCTATATTTTTCTTTTCCTCAAAACAATCATCTACAAATACGGTACATGGCTAACAGAAGAAATACAGAAGAAAAGCCATGACCGTACAAAAATCAAAAGTAAAAAAGTACCTATCACAGATCGGACTCTGAACTCTAGTCCTGGACTTCCTTCCCTTTCCCAGAACCTGAAAATCACCAGAAAACAAGAGTGAGCTCAACAGCTCAGCAAAGCAACAAACCTCCAATCAAAATTCTCAGAATCCAAAACCAAATACATCAGACCAAAATCCAAACAGAAATCGGAACAGAATCGTATCTCAAATCAGAACAGAATCAAATCAGAACTTATACGGACATATATCAAACCAGAATCAGAGTCAGAATCGTACAGAAATCAGAAATTCAGATGATATCAGAACAGAACGGGATCGTATCAGAATTGTACAAAAATCATATCAGAACAGAACTAAATGGAACAGATATCAAATCAAACAGATCAGATCAGACAGATCACATCAACAGAATCATAATTGCTTACAGAACAGATACGGAATCAGAATCAGATATTTAATTAACAGCTAAACTAAACTAAACAGAATCTCTACGGATTCTGACCCTTATGTCTCCCTTGTGCTCACGGCACCAGAAATTCGCTGAATAATTAATAGCTAAGTTAAATGTGCTCACGGCACCAGAATAATAGAATTCATCGTATCCGGAATATAACAGATATTTCTCCAACTTGAGCTCATCTAAGTTTTCCCCAGACACTAACTGAATCTCATTGATTCAACCCTTGAGACCTTTCTTTCCTTTGAGTAGGATTTCCTAGTCTATACCCTTGTGCCGATCTCACTTTTGGAAAAGATAATGTATGATCCTTAATCGAGAGTCTTCTCGGGCTCCGGCCCGGGATGTAATTAACCACGGGGGCTTGCGCCCGTGGGAAACTTGGCCCCGCAATCTACTTTACCCCACTCGATCTCTCATATCGGGTGGGGGAAACCCGTGATTAGGTCGTGTATATTGCTACCCATCGGGGTGTGCTGGCGACAGCATCTATCCCCAATGGTTAGTCGTATGCGCGATCCAATCTGCCCTCCCATCGACCCGTTCGTGTCGAGCGTAGAGGCCTACGATCGCTTTGTCCTACGGGATAGTGCGGCCGTACTCTCTGCATTCGAACCCCCGCGAGCGGTGCTCCTTCGGAGGTCCACAGATGGTAAATTTTTTTATATCCTCAAATTATTGATGTGTTGTGTTGTTTCAATACTAAACTTCTAAAATTGTAATCATGTGATGCTTTAGTATGCTGAAATGAACTAATGGAAACATTGTAACTTGGCAAATACTAAAATGTTTTCGTATATTGTTTGTTACTTTGTTCATCTCCTTAAATATTTAATGTAATGGTTACACTTTAGGTTATGAAACGCTTTATTGCTGAAAAACTTTAGGATGTTGTAATAGTTTAGTTATGTAATACTTCAATCATTAAGCTTTATGGTATGAAATATAATTGGTATGCTGAAATATTGTATTATTGAAATGCTTTAGCATGTTATAACAAAGTAATTGGTATGCTGAAATTAGTTAAATTTGTATGCTGAAAATTTATTCGGTATGTTGTATTTAGTGTATTGCTGAAATGCAATTTATTATGCGTTTCTATAACTTTCTATGTAGTCAATGTTAGTGAATTTAAGTATGAGATATTTGCAATCATTACACTATGCTTGTGGATTTAAGTATGAGAGAACTTTTTTTATACGAGAATCCCTTACATATGAATGTAAAAGTGATTCAAATTATTGAAGTTTCTACATTTAATTCAATTAATTACGATGTATATTGAGGTTCCGTTAGAGATTTATCTTTTAAATATGTTGAAATTTATGTCTAGATGGAGGATTCTAATACTATTATTGTAAGTAATCCTGTTGAACATAATATGCCATTACCTATTGATAATGATGAATTTAATGATGTTGATGACGAGGAAATTGGTGACACATAATTACATGTGGGAAGAGTACAAAATAAAAGAAAAAATATGGCTTATGTTGTGTGGAGTTATCTTGCAAATGATAGCAAACAACATTATAAATATAGAAAATGTGGGTTAGTCTACTGTTGTGAACTTGTGATTGTAAAAAGGGCACTCGCAATTTGAAATGTCACCTACAAAATTAAAAATAAAGGATGATTATGACATAGGACAACTTATTTTTCTTACTTTTCCTATAGATCTAAGGGATCATGAACTTCATGCTATTACAAAAATATCATGGGCTTAGATTTCAATGAAAATGAGAGTGAAAATGAGAGTAAGGAAGGCAATGGTTCAATTTCTATAGTAGTGTAGATAGAGTGTCTAAAATGAATGCCTATTTAATTAATGTTGAACTCTTTATTTATTATATGACTCCTTTCTATAACTAATTATGTTGGTGCTTCCAACTTTACTTCGTCACTCGTAACTTAATCAATCAATTAGCTTCCAATTATCTTAAACCTTAAGTCAAATTCACAAAACTAGTTCATGGTTTGATGGGATTTTTGCAACTATTTTAAAACAACTTTGTTGAATCTCTTAAGACTAAAGGCTTAGCTTTGAAGCTAAATTCATAGGCAACAAAAATGTTGGTGCATTGAAGATATGAAACTTGCTCACTTTATCTTATTCATTGGGGCATAATAAGCTCAGAACTTATATTTTAAGATGATGAGACTTTTTATGCTTGCTTATTCTCTCTGATGGTTGTTTAAAATTTGTATTTACAGCTTACAACTCATTCACTTATGCTGTATATTTTATTTACTTGGTCATTTATTATTGCTTAATCTTATGCTTGGTTTAGCAATAGACAAATGCATCTCAAGTTGTTTTTTCACATATCATATAATTTTGACATTTACTTTTCCATCATATATGCATTAAACTTCAACTTTTGTTCTTCCTGATGAACATTTATTTTGCAATATTAGTTCCGCCTGCTTCTTCAGTGTTCGTTCTTCCTACTTGTTTGTTAGATTCGTGGTTTTTGTCTGCTGTTTTTAGTTTCTTTGGTTGAATTGTTGTTGGTTGCATTCTATTTCAATGTTAGTTCAACATAGGTATGTTGTTGATTGTATATTGTTCTTGGTTTTATTTTGTTGTTCCTTAGTTCATGTCTCTTATGATTGTTGTTATTGAATTTTACTGTCTCTTGTGGGCTTGTGGCTATTTTGTTGATGCAGGCATTGTCTCTGCTTAAGCTCTGGTCAGATGTTATTCGAGTGGAAAATTAGGATTTTCCCAACTTGTGCAACTTTTTCTATTGGGACGATGATGAAAACCCTTATGCAGTGATCGAAACCCTACGGTGCAACTAGGTGACAATTTAACATTTGTGTTTTCTTATTAAAAAAAAAAAAAAACATTTGTGTTTTCTTTGCTAGGCATATACTATTTAATTGAGGGCAATATATTTTGATATTTTTTGAGCTTATGATTATTTTTTAGGATTAATCTTAGCCTCACATTAGTGCATTAGGGCTAAAAAAAAAAAAAAGTATTCCAAACAAAGTCTTTACTTATCAATCAAAATTATTAAAAAAAACAGTACATAGTAGGTTTTTCCTCTTTTAATAAGATTTGAAAAAGTAAGCATATCATTATAAAATATAAATTATGACTGAGAAAATAGCTTTTAAAATTTTTTTATAGAAAAAAAAAATCCTAATTTTCAGCCGAATGTGCTTTAAGTGATAAAAACAAAGCAAGTTAACCATGAAGTCTCAGGTGACGACGCTGCATTATAAAAATGCAAATTCTTTTAATATTTGGAAACATCTCTTTCAACATTTTTTATTTTAACATTATTAGAATTAAAAACTATATTCTTACTATTCTATTATTGTGTTGTATATTTAGGTATGTCGTTCATCGCAATGCGCGTGCGATGGCAATATTGTAATTTATAGTTTTTCAGTTTAGATTTTAAAAATAATTTTTTGTTTATTAAAAACAAAATATATGGTAAAGTAGTAAAATAAAATGCTAAATACATATAAATTTTTATAGTTCTTTATATGATATTTTTATTTTTTAAATTATAATAAAATATACATTAAATTGATTTATAAATAAATATAAATTTAGGTGTTAGATATGTATGTAAATATACGATCAAATTCTTAATTATCTATTTGACCTAGTGTTTTATGGCTTTGTGGGAGAGGCGTAAGTGAGTCAAACCAACTTACGAGCTAGCTCGAGTTCGACTCAATTAATGGTTAGTGAGCAAAATTTGATAGGCTAACGAGCTAAATTTGAGCCAGCCCTGATTTCACTTATAACTTGTAAGCTGATTTATTTAAAAAATATTAATATAAAATAGGTTTAAAATAGATTTAACATTACAAATTTGGGAAATTTACATACATACCACTTTATTTCATGCTATTTATATATGTAACACCCAAAACATTAATATTACATGCATACCACTAATATACAACTTTAATATCATATATATAACTTCTATAATTCATTTATACCATTCATACCATCCTATAAACTTTACAATTTCATTTCATGTACCTAAATTTGTTCTATGGGTGGTAGTCATGTAATATTAATATTTTGGGTATTAGATATGTAAATAGCATAAAATAAAGTTGCATGTATGTAAAACCCTCTAAAAAATTACACAATTGCTTGATGTTTTTTGACAATTCCTGTTTCTATAGGGTGACTTTTGACAATTGCACTGGCTTCCACTTGTGCTTGCGGGCCGGCGACTGAGCTCAGCCGTCAAACAGAGCCATAGCACAACGAAGGCTTGTGATTTTAGCTGAAAGGTCTCCTGATTCGCAACTAGAAATTATTTATAATTTCGTCACTACGTTATTTTGCTCATCCCCATTGGTTTCAAGCAGATTGGTTTCCCGCAGCAATTGCTCTCTTTCTCTCGTCGAACGGTCTCTTTCTATCTCAGAACTGTTAGCGCCACCACCGTTTTCGTAGCGCAACCTTTCTACGGATGGATGGATTCGCCTCTCCTATTTCTTTGTTATTTGACTCATTTCCGACCACTGCCTCGTACGAAGACTGTGGAAACCGGATGACCACAGCTTAATTGATCTACGACCGCGGATCGTCGAAGAGATGGAGGGAGGAAGTAGCGGAGCGGTTCTGGCCGGTGGAGGGCCTCCACCGTTCCTTAGTAAGACGTATGATATGGTGGATGATCCCACGACGGACTCGATCGTGTCTTGGGGGCCGGGAAACAACACCTTCGTTGTGTGGAACCCGCCAGAGTTTGCGCGTGATCTCCTTCCCAAGTACTTTAAGCACAACAACTTCTCCAGCTTCGTCCGCCAGCTCAATACCTATGTGAGCCCTGGCCCTTTTCCATTACTTTGATTATTTATTTCTTTCCTTAGCGGGATGTGACCTTTTTTTGGTAGGTTTTCGTTGCATCTTAGTTTATTCTTTAACTCGGAGATGCAAATCAGGTTCTACTTTGGTCGAATGTCTGTTAGAAGTGGAAGGTTTTTGGGCTCACTGTAGCGATTGTCGGGATTATTTTTAGTATTGTGTAAGATTCTTTTGTTCTTTCCTTGCTATGTCAAAACTTTGGATTGCTATCTAAGGAAGTTCTTTGTCTTTATGGACAAAAAGTGGCTTACACCTTATGCTCTCTCTTTCTGACATGATGCTGAATCAATAGCGAAATTCTCTCATTATAGCAAGTTCTTCTTTGTTGATTTTATAGAAGATCACTCTTCACTCATCGTCTAATTATTTTTTTTAACGTTTATTTAGCCCATTTTGCACTTCTTACATGATAAGAAGCTTTCGCTCATCCTATTCCATTATCAAAACTCCGTCCACTCAGTTGCATCATTTATTTTGAGTTGCTCACCATTTTGGTAGTTGATGTATTGCAACTGGGGTTTTTCTTTGAATTGGAAGATACAATAGGTTCTCCTTTGGTTGAAAATCTGTTAATTAGATGGGAATGCATGTTATAAGTAGATCCTTCCAAGGTTTAGTGTAGAAATTATTTGGATTATTTTTTTTTAGTATCGTGTAAGATTCATTTGTTCTTTTTTTTATAAGCTAAATATTTTGATCAAACATCTATGGAAGTTCTTCATCATTTTCAGTAAAGGTGGCTTATAACATTTTGTTACTTGCTGACACGGGCAATGAGTTTGAAGTGAAATTATGTGAATATCTAGTTCTTTTGTTATTAAATTTTATAGCAAACTGCTCTTCAGTGTGCTTCTAAATATTTTTTTCTTGCAGCTGATTTAATCCTTTTTGCGCTCATTACATGTGAAGAAACTTTTTCTTGTAACATTCTATTGTCAAAACTTCATCTGTTTTGTTGCTCCATTTCAATTCACTTTTTATTCAGATGTAATGAGAATTAATTCAATTTGTTATTTCATTTGATTTCATTAACTATTTTTGATGCTCAGTTTGCTTATTGTGATACTTAGAACTGGTTTAAGCAATTCCATTTAGGCGCATGGTCTGCAGATGCACTGAAATACATACTTCGAGCCTTAAAATGATTCAGATATTGTTCCCCATGTTTTGTAGCAATCCCAAAGTTGATCAATGGAATTCATTTGAGTTTGGATCCTTAATTTGATTATGGCGGTATAGTTGATTTAATGATGATAAACTGTGCATAACTGGTTTGCTGAATTACTAGTATTACATGTTAACTTCCGTTACAGTCTAAAATACATTTTAATTCATGTATTTGAAAAGCTTGAGAATTTGCTTATTTTGCATGTTGATTGTCGTGATTATTTTTAGTATTGTGTAAGATTCTTTTATTCTTTCCTTGCTATGTCAAAACTTTGGATTGCTATCTAGGGAAGTTCTTTGTCTTTATGGACAAAAAGTGGCTTACACCTTATGCTCTCTCTTTTGACATGATGCTGAATCAATAGCGAACTTGTCTCATTATAGCAAGTTCTTCTTTATTGATTTTATAGAAGATCACTCTTCACTCATCGTCTAATTATTTTTTTTAACGTTTATTTAGCCCATTTTGCACTTCTTACATGATAAGAAGCTTTCGCTCATCCCATTCCATTATCAAAACTCCGTTCACTCAGTTGCATCATTTATTTTGAGTTGCTCACCATTTTGGTAGTTGATGTATTGCAACTGGGGTTTTTTCTTTGAATTGGAAGATACAATATGTTCTCCTTTGGTTGAAAATCTGTTAATTAAATGTTATAAATAGATCCTTCCAAGGTTTAGTGTAGAAATTAGTTGGTGTATTTTTTTTAGTCTCGTGTAAGATTCATTTGTTCTTTCTTTTATAAGCTAAATATTTCGATCAAACATCTAAGGTAGTTCTTCGTCATTTTCAGTAAAGGTGGCTTATAACATTTTGTTACTTGTGACAAGGGCGATGAATTTTAAGTGAAATTATGAGAATATCTAGTTCTTCGTTATTAAATTTTGTAGCAAACTGCTCTTCAGTGTGCTTCTAAATATTTTTTTCTTGCAGCTGATTTAATCCTTTTTGTGCTCATTACATGTGAAGAAACTTTTGCTTGTAACATTCTATTATCAAAACTTCATCTGTTCTGTTGCTCCATTTCAGATCACTTTTTATTCAGATGCAATGAGAATTAATTCAATGTGTTATTTCATTTTCTTTTATTAACTATTTTTGATGCTCAGTTTGCTTGTTGTGATACTAAGAACTGATTTAAACAATTCCATTTAGGCGCATGGTCTGTAGATGCACTGAAATACATACTTCGCGCCTTAAAATGATTCAGATATTGTTCCCCTTGTTTTGTAGCAATCCCAAAGTTGATCAATGGAATTCATTTGAGTTTGGATCCTTAATTTGATTATGGTGGTATAGTTGATTTAATGATGATAAACTGTGCATAACTGGTTTGCTGAATTACTAGTATTACATGTTAACTTCCGTTACAGTCTAAAATACATTTTAATTCATGTATTTGAAAAGCTTGATAATTTGCTTATTTTGCATGTTGATTTTTCTTCCTTGCCATAAATCTTTTTTATTTTTTGTTGGAAATATGTCAAGATGGGAGCTGAACCCCTCACCCACCTTTTGTAAGGTTGAGGCAATACCGCAGGAGTTAATGCCCATTGGTAGTATTATTTTTCCATTGTTTTACATTCCCCTTTTTTCATCATATGATTTCTGTTATCTAACATCTGTTCCTGTTACTGATCTCCTTCTTTTATTTTTGATTGTTATCCTATAATGTTAATTAAATAATCTAAGGCATTTAGTGGATATCCTGCAAAGAACCATTAGGCGTTCAAGGAAGTTTTCTATGGTTTAAATGACATGAAGGTTCAAGGAATCTTTGGTTGCTTGTCTTGTGGCTGGTGTAATTCATTTTGTGCTTTTGTATCAACAAAAATGTGGAAAATGCCAGTTTTTGAGTGGTGGTTAGAATGACAACCAATGGTTAATGTTGTTTTTGTACTTCTTCAGTGTATTCCTTGATAAAACTTCTATGAAATTTTCTAATTTTATGATTATGCAAGCATTACTTGGAGATTTGCATGAATTGTTATCCATGTGGAATGTATTGGCGCTCATATTCCTTGATGATTTATAGCTTGTTTCCATAGATGGATAGTGACCTTCCGTATTATACTATCTACATCGGTTTTTACCTTAATGAAGGATCACTCAACTCCATTTTGTGAACGGACAAACATACCAATCCGATGGAAGCTGATTTATCATCTTCTTGTTCTAATTACAGGTCTCTAGTGATGATGGTATTGAGGTGAAGACTAAGAGGAGACGGCTAGGGGTTGGATGTGTGAGCTTTATGGTGTGCTTTTTTGGTTTAGAATAAGTTTTGATTATGTGGATGAAGGATTGGTTAGATGGGTTTGGTGATGAGAAGTTTAGTTAGTGGTGGCTGGTAGAGAGGGGATAAGGCTCGGGTAGGCTAGTAGGAAGGGTGAGGAATCAAAATGAGGGGAGAGAGGAAGAGAAGAGATTGGGCTTTGGATGGAAGTGGAGAAGTTTATTGTAATCACTAGGTCTTCCCCCCCAATCTTGAGCTTTCAAGTGACAACCAATTATCACAATCAAAACTCCCATAGTAAACCAACGATGAGCAAATTTTTGCCATTCACGATGGGGAGTTGTATTTTTGTTTGGGATGAATAGTGTGTATAAGAGGGGATAAGAGACATGGATTAGGAGTAGAGTGCACCATTATGGTTTTATTCCATCAACATCATCCTAAAACATCATAGCGTACCCATTTATAGAGGAGAAGGGCTCTTCTCATTGAGAGCAGAAAATTCAGCTGACATAAAAGAATGACCATATCCTTAGTGCATCACATAAAGCAACATGAAGTTAACTCGAGTAAGCTAAGGTGCTCTTTGTTTATTAGAGAAGAATAAATAACTTTTGATATTCTTGCCCATAAAGTGAAATAAAAATGTAAATTGAAAGGTTGGATGTTTTTAATGTGCTTTACCAGTTGTTTCTGTGTGGGTTGAGCTTTTATAAAGAAAGCAATAAACATTCAATACCCTTTATGATGGGGACATCCAGTCATGGAAAGTTTATCGTCGCCGAGGCCGGAGATCAATGGCCGTGATTGAGTCGTTGTATATGTAGTTTGTTTTATTTGATCTTTTGGATTTGTGTTGTTTTATTTCCTATTTTTCCCTCATGTGAGGGGATGTTATGTTTAGTGACCAAGGGTATTTTGGTTTTGTCATTTTTTCTTCTTTTTGGGCTTATATATAGGAGCCCTCATCCTTTGTAATTTGGTTAATGAATGCTGAAAACGTTTTTACCTTTGGAGCTTAGTTTTCTTCTTTCTAAGTAGCTTGGTAAAGATTAGTTTAGTGGTGTGAGTGTGAAATACCCAACAGCCGTTGGCTCTTGATTTTATCCTTGTTCTCAAGTCTCTCCATCTCCTTCCCAACTCCCAACCGAACCCTTCCCCTACTCCCAACCGGTGTTCCCAAACTCCTGCAGCAAATTTCTACTTAGAAACCTGCTGTCCAAAGCCTTCTAACCCCACCAACAACCCTCCGTTTACCCTCCCTCCTAGTGCTAGTAACCAACCACCCAACATCCACTTTGGTGACCCTTCCTCTTCCAAAAAAAACACTGAAATTTTCCCTCTCAACAACCAACAAAATTATGTCTTTACAACTTCCTCATTGGAAGTTGGAAAGTCACCTTGAGCCTCTTTGTATTCTCCAAAACCTTTTCCCAAAAGTTACAGTGCTGTCTTTTAACTTTCTCAAAGCCCCTATTCATTTCTCTATTAAATACAAGCCTCTTCGTACTCTTCAAGACCTTTTCCCAAAAGTTAAAGTGCTGTCTTTTA